GAAGATGTATTAACGCCAAGTAATCTTGGCGAAATAGTTCGTAATACTGAATACCAGCGTAGACTGTTTGCACACTTACCAGACGAATCGTCCGCGCCTAGGAACGAACAGGAGCTTATGCTCACGGTGCACTCTCCACAGTTTAGACAGGTCTGGTATCAGCAAATGTCAACACCGTGTTATGTTTAGCGTACCACTTTGCAGGCAGTAAGTTTGTTTAGTTCGGCATTACACACGGGGCAACTGGGACCTTTAATGTCGCAGTTCGGTCTACCTCCTGCGGTGGTTGATGCTTGTGTGCGTGGAGGTGAGACGAATGAAAACTACTCACTACTTGTGGTATCTGTTTTTACGTTCATCATGTCAAATTTCTTTTTGCAGATATTCAGTCAGTGGCTGAAATGCTTCAGAAACAGCGCAGTTCTGGGGCAGCCTTGACGACTGAGAAAGAAGAAAAAGAAAATGCTGGAAATAGTGGCCGCGTCGCTGACGAAGGTGGCGACAAGCCTGTCAAAAAAGATGACAAGGCGAAGAAGGACGTACACGAAAAAGAACACAAACCTGAAGCTGACGATAAAGACATGGAATTAGACTAACTGATTATTTTTCATGTCGGTTTTTGACTGTCGTTTTTGGTAATATAAAATAGATCTTTTTACCGACGTTGTAACCGTATCCGATCAATTATGGTAACAATTAATTTACTTCGCGTCAGCAGATTCTTACTAACCGAGCTACCGTAGTGTACGCATATTGCTTTTTATTAATCATCCTTATCCCTTATTACGAAACGATTATAGTCATATTAATGATTGGATGATGTAAAATAAATTACACTGTGGTAATTAACATGTAGTTTTATGAGTTGAAACAGTTATCTGTTGTCACTTAACGCTATGGCTCTGCTCTTAACGAGTGATTCGTCACCGTGCTTTTTATTTCCTTGATTATGGTACGAGATCGTAATATCTGGCTAAATGCTGTGGTTGTGTATATTGCTAAGCCGTTACGTAATCATGAAGGCGAAGAGGCTTTCGATTTGACCTTGTGTTACTTTGCGTCGAATTTTCGGCAGCGTCGTATAGTCACCAAACCGATTGTCCATCTATAAAGCAGCGTGCTACTACAACCGGCAGGGAAAGACACATCGAACGATGTCAGCGGTTTTTGAGAACCAATAATGCTTCATGGTGCTCGATCAGTTAAACAATGCCATGGTCGTCAGCAGAGCATGAAGATGGTTACCTACAGAAGGAAGAATAGGTCATTGAGTTTCATTCATGATTTGCCAGTGGCAAATGTCGGCTCCAGCTTCTGAAGATGTCAGCGCGTATTCGCAGTTCGACTTAAAGCGTCACTGTTTATGTAGAGGATACTAAGACTAATGCAGAATGCATCATCCTCTCTTCGAAGATACATACGATTGTGCCGCAACTGTTTCTACGAAAGATTGCAAAAGAAATATTATCTAAGAAAAACTTGATTTTAAAGCATTAATTAACAGCTTGGATCAGCCATGATTGTATCAATCTCAGAGTCTATTTCAAAATCCAGACAATCGATCACAATTACGATAGCAGCTAGAAAGAACATGCATTTTGTGTCTGACCCCGTCACGTGACCAATTGCATCGGTCGCTAACTACCTCTCACGGGTGAATATTACATTGAATAAAAGGCGAAATCATATGAAACCATATGTTAACGCAGATGTCGTTTTAATCCACATTCATCGCTTTGCAAATTTGAAAATTTAGTCCCTGTTGTGTATTCATGTGTTTCTACTGTTTCTTAAAGTGGTAAATATTACCTGATATAAACAGTATAAAGGCTGACGCACAACAAATTACAAAATCAGATACCTGTCATTTCAGGCTGTTTTTCATAATCCATAGCGTTTTTTCAACGAAATCCACTGTAGTTGTCATCCTGGTAAATGTCATAGTTGATCGCTATAACGATTAAATATTCAACGGTTCTAAGGGAATACTTTTATCTCTTCATCTTCCATCGCCGCTTCTCCTTTCGGGTCGCGGAGGCAGACGCGCCAGACAGTGCTTCCAACGT